CCCCCCGGGCCTTCATTTTCATGTGGCACTGGTCCGGCATCTGGGAATGGCCTGTCTTGCTCATCCTGCCTGCTTGGGCCTCATAAATGCGGGTGTTTGAGTGCTTGCCCTGCGTGAACTGCCTCTGCACCTCCACATTGTCCCAGAGTGCCACAAAGTCATGCTCCTCCTCCTGGCTCCAGTTGGGCCCTGGGTGGGAGGCTTGGGCGTGCGTGTGTGGGCGGGGCTGATCCTTGACAGGGAGGACATCGTATCCCATGCCAGCTCTCTGGGCTCCTGCACAGCACTGTGGTTGGCCCTAGAGAGCTGGTTGCAGCACGCAGCTCAGGGGCAAGGCCAGGGACTGTGAGCCATGCAGCAGAGGCAGATGTGGTACAGGACCTGCAAACGCAGGAGACGGTGCTAGCCCTGCTGTCAGAGAGCCAGGCAGCAGCCCTGGAGAGATCCCAGGGCTGGGCAGCGGGAGCAGCAGGTTGCAGCCCTTTGCAACACTCAGCTGTGGCCAAGCTGCATCTCCAGCTAGGGGACAGGACTAGGAGCAGCAGCCTGGGTCCTGTCCATGGGGCACATAGAAACAGGTACTGAAAGGCCCAGGGAGTGTGCCCCAGGGCACAAAATAGCCACAGGCTTTTATAGCCCGCAGCAGTAGCTGGGGCTACCACAGAGGTAGGCCAGCCCTAGAGGAGGTGAGGCTTCCAGCCAGGAGCCCTTAGGCTGGGCTCCAGCTGGCCCCCTAGTGGCTGGGCAGATCTAGTACTAGAGTCCCCACGTTAATGTCTACACGTGAGTTAATGCGTTTTAAATGATCACACCTAAAGTTGATACTAGCTTTCTGCAGGTATCAAATTTAGGTGGGATTAGCCTAAAATCCCCATTTTTTAAGGTGCATTAAGGGTGTGCACATGTAGATGCACACCCTTAATGCACATTAAATGTGCACATATGGACGTGCCCACTGAGTTTTGGTTGCTACTTTGGCATGCTTCTTCTTGGAGAAGACCATCAAAGCATTTTTGACTGTAACAGAACTTTTAAACTGATAATTTTAAATCATGGGAGGGGCAAAAACAGCTGGTAACTGTACAGTCCATTGCGACTGCCCCAGCTTATTTGTCAATCTCTGTCTTGTTATTTCTGTTCTTTTGGTGATGGCTGGCTTAAGTACTTTCTTGTCAGCTTCTCCTGTGTTTGTTTCCTTAAAATTTTCTGTGCTGTCCCCTGTGTATAGAGACAGCTTTTTGAGTCTGTCTACTCAACCCCCTTTTCATTTAAAGTCACTTCTGAAGACCACGTGTATTGTAACATGTATCAGAAACCCACTGGCATCACCATTCTTGAAAGTAATTTATGTAAAATAAACTCACTTCAGTATTTGTTAACATAATTGCATGTGTGCTGTGTCCCCACCCCACTGGCTTGTTCACTTCTGTCTCAGTCTGGGGCAGGGGGCATGCTCTTTTAATTTGGAAACAGAGCTTGCTGTGAATGCAGTTGGCAATAATAAAGGAACAAAAACTTTGGGAAGAAAGAGTCTCTCAGGCTTTTGGTATAAAAGATAACTATAGGGAGGACGGTGTGGAACAGGAGAGAGTTTTTGTAGCAGCTAGATTATACAAGAAGTTGTTTTTTTTTTTTCTACTTTGTTGTTTTTTTCCTACTTTGAAGCATCTGCCTCTGGCAGCTGTCTGAGGCAAGATATTGGACCAGACAGACAGCCGGCTTGCTCTTGCAATGTATTTCTTACCTTGCTAGTCATGTGGAAATCTCAGCTAACAAAGTTGATCCATCTCTTTTTATAGATGGACTATCTAAAGCAAACAAAGTAGGTGTATTATGGTCACAGTAACACAACCTTGTGGGAAATTGTCACTGCTTTCTGCAGAAGCTGCAAATGATGGGAATCTCAAGTTACAATAATGGAGCCCCTGGTTTTGCATAGTTGGGGAGTTATCACAAGAGAAAAAAAGGTGTAGTTGGGGTATGTGACTGCAAAACCCATTTTAATGGGATATTTTTCAAATTTAATTGTAGTTACCTTTTTAAACAATAAAGCTCAACCTGAGAGTATAGAAGGAAAGCGCTGTCGATTTGCTGAAGTTCCCAGAGCCCTGAATGACAATGATAGACTGTCGTGCAAGGGGAGGTTTTAGTCCTCCGTATTTTCAGAAACGGTCATGCACACCTTTGAAATAAGTTACCCACCAGGATACTAGGATTATTAAAAAGAAAAACCTGGGCTTTTCCCATTTTAAGGAGGTTTGGAAATAAAGATAAAATCCTTTAAGCATTTGAATATACCTCAGATCTAGCTGCTTTTTGTCTTCATGTATTTTTCTTCCTCATACGCTCGGACTACTAGGTGAAATGTATGGACAGAAAGTGGTCTGGCTTTCATTCTTGGGAGTTAATATAAACACAAATCTGATCCTCCTCCAGATCCTCTGACCTTGTGTTTTAAAGAAATAATTAAAAAAAAACAAGACGTATGATTGCTTCTGAGTGCTGATTAACTGGGATTCCTCTGGCTCGTGTGAGATTTCAGAAATGGCCCTGTCCTACATCGCGCTATCCACCTCCTGCTGCATCCTTGGACAGTTCTTAACTCTTGCTGTCCTTTGTGATACCTGGACTAAGTGCTCTTTTATATCTCCATTTGGCACTTTTTTGTTGACATACGAAGGGTAGAGCTTCATCCATAAGGTTTTCCCTTTCATAATTTAACCCAGGACTGAAAAATTGAGCAGAAACTGTCAAGAGACTGTTTTTCAAGTTTGTAAGTGTTCAGGGAATGGTGATATAACATCTTCAAAGGCCACTGGTATTTCGATGAGTAAACATGTTAAATTTGTTTTTCTCTTTACTTCACAGGAGGAGTCTCGGATCCTCAGAGTAAAGGTGGTTTCTGGGATTGATCTAGCTAAAAAAGACATCTTCGGAGCCAGGTACGGTTTGGCATTCAGCACTAACTTGCTTTAAAATATAGTACGGTCAAGCAGAGTAAAGCAGTTTATAACTGAGTCACTGAATCTCTCAAAAGGATTGCAACCAATGCAAGTTATGGGATATCTGTTGGCAGGTATCAGTTGCCATGACTGACTTTTCATGCTCTCTGGAATATGCCCTCTCCTACCAGACGGTACTGTTCCCCAGTCCACTTTCTGCTTCTGCTGTAGGTTTTCATAGATTCATAGATTCATAGATTAAGGGTCGGAAGGGACCTAGTAGATCTTCTAGCCCGACCCCCCGCCAGGGCGGGAGAACAACAAAAACCCCAAAAAGAGAAATGGGACTCAAACGAGTCCAGCTAGGTGGGCATCCAGCCTCTTCTTAAAGACCCCCAGGGTAGGGGCCAGCACCACTTCCCTTGGAAGTTGGTTCCAGCTCCTAGCCGCCCTAACGGTGAAGTAGTTTTTGCGGATGTTCAATCTATACCTCCTCTCCAACAGCTTGTGCCCATTTCTCCTTGTTATGCCAGCGGGCGCTAGGGGAAACAGCGTCTCCCCCAAACCCCTCTGGTCCCCCCTAGTGAGTCTATAGACAGTCACCAGGTCCCCCCTTAGCCTTCTCTTGTGGAGGCTGAATAGGTTCAGGTCCCGCAGTCTCTCACTGTAGAGTCTGCCCTGTTGTCCCTGGATCATGCGGGTGGCCCTCCTCTGGACCCTCTCCATATTGTCCACATCCCTCTTGAACTGGGGCGCACAGAACTGGACACAATACTCCAGCTGTGGCCTGACCAGTGTCGCATAGAGGGGGAGGATCACCTCTTTGGCTCTACTCGAGATGCACCTGTGGATGCACGACAAGGTCCGGTTAGCCTTGCCAACCATGACCTCGCATTGTCGGCCCATGTTCATCTTGGAGTCATAACTCATGATGTAGTAACTCATAATGAGGCACCTTAGTTATTGGTGGTGGTTTTGGATGCTTTATTTAATATCCTGACCCTCCGTCCCCACTAGTGATTTAAGAGGGGCAGAAGACATGAATGATGCAGCAACACTGCTTTGTTTTTGATAAAGCACCACTTCCCTTATTGGTTTTCAGCAGCAGCTGTGGTGGTGACAGATGTAGAAAGCTGATAGGATTGTGACATTGTTGTATTATTTTGGGCCGTTGGTCATGTCCAGGTGTCACAGATACAGTTTCTGCGTACCATTGGAAGGATTTCCTCAATCCATGTGCTAACATGAAGAGTGTGGAAAGGACCATGGTGCTGATCTTGCTGGCATGTGAGGAAACTTTTGTTTAATAAATGGTCATTTGGTTGTGGAAAGGAGGAGATGACACTTATGCAGTTAAGTTACAGATGTCTTTCTTTCTGTTTTGTCTACTTGCTAACTGAATCACTGGGACATGCAGGCCCAAGGTGAGGATTATAAATATGTCTATAAACTGAGGGCCAGTTTCTTCAGGAAGAAGACGACTCTTCCAGAGAGCATGAGCCAGTCTTACTTAACATGGTTGGCTTCTGTCTGTTTCCCAGCCAACAAAGAATGAGCAGACCCTAGTCTGCACTGGGTTAACTCCGGTCAGGGTAACAATTGACAACAACATTGTTTTTAAGTGTTTTATTTGAAAAACTCTTTCAAAACCTGTTCACACTTCCTCTAATTCCATTTTCTTAAATTTGTCACAGAAGGATTCAGATATTTCCTTTTTGAATTGTACATTTTTTTTGAACAAGTGTAAACTTCTGGTGTGCTTATTAAGACCAACAGCATGAGCAAAAGCTGACAGCCTTGGAGGACTTTGAAGATAAACCTGGATGGATGTAGTATCAAACTTAACTGAGTTACGTTAAATTGGTTTATTGAACTTCTGTCCCAGATACCATCCATATTCAGGTTATTTTACAGTCTCCCAGCATCCCAGGATGCTTTGCACCTTCTTTGAAAATCCCTGCTTGCAGGGTGTGTGAGCTAACCTTAGCCCAAGCTGTCTGCTCTGGCTGAGCAGGGAGGCACGCTCTAGCGCCTCCCAGATTCTGGCTTGGGCCACTTCAGACGTGGCTGCATTTCTGAAATCAAAATTGAACATCTGGTCACTTGCTTATTGGTTTCAATCTACACAGCTTAGACTAACCTGCGAAGATTGAGTCATAGATCCCCCCTCAGCCTTCTCTTCTGGAGGCTGAACAGGTTCAGGTCCCGTAGCCTCTCCTAGTGGGGCCTGCCCTGCTGCCCCCGATCATGCGAGTGACCCTCCTCTGGACCCTCTCCATGTTGTCCACATCCCTCTTGAAGTGCGGCGCCCAGAACTGGATGCAGTACTCCAGCTGCAGCCTGACCAGTGCTGCATAGAGGGTGAGCATCACCTCCTTGGACCTGCTTGAGATGCA